AAATCAGACCCGTAACCCGAGGCAGGAGGATTTTGTGAGTTTGGGGACAGCTTGGGCTACATAAAAAATAATAGAGGTCACGAAGATGAGTCAGCAGGCAAAAGCACTTGCCACCAACCCCGATGTCCTGAGTTCAAACCCTAGGACCCAGATTGTAGAGGGTGAACCCTCACTGATGCAAGCTGTGACCTTAGTTCAGTCATGAACCTTGGCACTCACACACCCAGACACAAATGACTGTAACTAAGAAGCATTTAAAGAGAAACAGACTTGCTTTGGGCCAGGAAGTACCTTTACTTTCGACAAGTTCTTCCTTGTCAAATGCCCGTGTTGTTTTGTGCTCTTGTGACACCGGACAGGCAGGAAAGGCATAGCTAGGCGGTCCCGGGCTGTGGCGGTCCCGGGCTGTGGCGGTCCCGGGCTGTGGCGGTCCCGGGCTGTGGCGGTCCCGGGCTGTGGCGGTCCCGGGCTGTGGCGGTCCCGGGCTGTGGCGGTCCCGGGCTGTGGCGGTCCTGGGCTGTGGCGGTGGGGCTGTATAGGGCCTTCACATCCTAGCAGAGTAGACAGTACAAGGCTGCAATCAGCTGGGCTAGAACTCTCAAAGGCCTGGCTGGGCCTTAGACCCATTTCCTCCAACCAGAAACTTTAACTCTGAAGTGTTCACAGCCCTCCGAAGCAGCACTGTCACCTGGGAAAATAATCCTTCGAGGGGCTGACCGAATTCACAGCAGCCCTATTGCATCCTTTGGTGACAGGGATGGGACCCAGGTCCCCCTGTGCTACTCACATTTCCCACAAGCCATCCCCTTCCAGGTGATAAAGGCTGTGCCTGTGTCTTGGAAATGCACTCTCCTGCCGGGTCACCCACAGGGGTCAGAGGAGCTGGTGGAGGGGGCTCCCAGCCCCTGCCCAGTGTTAGAAGGCTCCTGTCACTGATTTGGGCTCAGGGGAAGGATCTGGGGTTAGATCTCCCCTTTACTGTGCTATTGTGTGGCCATAAAACATACCTCAGGCTGGCCTTGAACTCACAATTCTGCCCCTGCCTCCCTGGGTCTCTGGAACTACAAGCATCTGCCTCCTAGTGCTTTCCTGGACAGACGTTGAGAACATGGCCTGATGGTCTCTGCATGGGAAAAGATAGGTAGATTTTGTGGAAAATGTTTTTTTAAAAGTGATAATCAGGGCAAAGTAGTCTTCTGCTTCCTTGTCTAAACAGGTGTAGACTTAGGCCAGCAATTTGGCTTAGTGGGTAAAGACACTGCCACCAAATCTGACTCTAGGGGACACCCACACTGTGGAAGGAAAGAACTGACTCTCCAAAGTTGTCCTCGGACCCCCTGTATGAGGGGTGGCACACCTGGGCATGCACACATGCCCAAACTAAGAAATGTAATACATAAATGTCATAAGTGGGGGCTGGAGAGAAGGCTCAGTGGTTAGGAGCACTGGTTGCTCTTTCAGAGGTCCTGAGTTCAATTCCCAGCACCCACAGGACAGCTCACAATCTGATGCCCTCTTCTGGTCTGCAGGCTCACATGTAGACAAACACCTGTATGCATAAAAAAAAATCTTTAAAATAAAGGGGGGGGGGCTGGAGAGTTGTTTTTCCAAAGGACGTGGGTTCAATTCCCAGCAACCACGCGGTGGCTCACAACCATCTATAATGAGATCTGGTGCCCTCTTCTGGTGTGTGAATACATGATAAAGAAATCTTTTTAAAAAAAAGAAAGAAAAAAGAGATGTAATCAGTGATTAAAGTAGACCGGTTTGACATACACGAACAAAGGCCATAGGTCCAGGGCCGTTCCCTGACTACAGCCATCCCAGAGTGTGACATAAGGGTTTGGAGTGTTAGCGACAGCATCTGAGGGTATAGACCATCGTGGTGGGGAAGTCACGGCCGCAGGAGCTTGACACAGCCGTCAAGTGACATCCCGCCAGGAAACAGATGAACAGTGGTGCTCAGCTCACCTCCTTTTGTTCAGTTCAGGACGACGGCCCGTGACACGGTGACACCCACAATTAGGGTGGATCACGTCACCTCAGTTACCTTAATCTAGATAATCTCTCAGAGGCCTGCGCTCGCCTCTTAGAGATTTGACTCTTGATCCTGTAATAATAGTATAGCCATCACAACAGGTGTCTCACAGTACAGCCAGGCTCACGGCCCAGTATTACTTAAAATTTGATCCAATTACTTCGTGTGTGTGTGTGTGTGTGTGTGTGTGTGTGTGTGTGTGTGTCTGTGTGCATTCTCACATGCATGCATAATGTGTGGGTGTGCAGGACAGCACATGTGTGATTGAACTCTCAGTCACCAGGTTTGCACAGCAAGCTCCTTCCTTGCTGAGTTGTCTGTCTCACTGGCTCACGGCTGGCCTACAGCCCAGTAGTATTTCTAAGGTCGGGATCCAGGGGCCTTCCTCACAGGAGTGGGCTCCAGGGTCTGAACTCACACGATCAGGCTTTTGACCACTAATCCATCTTGCCAGCCCATAAACCTGTTTCTATAATCCCTTTTAAAATCTAGGGAGTTCACTCCATACTGGGAGGGAGGACTCTGGTTCTCTGCCCCATCTTTCCTATTTTTGTGTTTCTTTTCTCTCTCTCTCTCTCTCTCTCTCTCTCTATTTATTTATTATGTATACAGTGTTCTGCCTGCAGGCCAGAAGAAGACACCAGATCTTATCCTAGATAGTTGTGAGCCACCATGTGATTGCTGGGAGTTGAACTCAGGACCTCTGGAAGAACAGCCAGTGCTCTTAACCTCTGAGCCCTCCCTTGTGTTTCTATTATACCTGTTTTTTGTCTTTGTTTTGTTTTTCTGAGACAGGGTTTCTCTGTGTAATAATAGCCTTGGCTTTCCAGGAACTCTGCCTGCCTCTGCCTCTTGAATGCTGGGATTAAAAGTGTGCTCCATGGGTTGGAGAGATGGCTCAGTGGTTAAGAACACTTGCTGGTCTTCAAGGGGTCCTGAGTTCAGTTCCCAGCAACCACATGGTGGCTCACAACCATCTGTAATGAGACTTGGTGGCCTCTTCTGGCGTGCAGGCATACAGGGAGTCAGAATGTTGTATACATAATAAATCTTAAAAAATTAAAAAAAAAAAAAAAACTAAGTGTGCTTCACCATGCCAGCCTCCTGCAGCATCAATGTATTGACCATAAACACTAACGGGCTAGGTGGTCTGGGAAGCTGGGCGGCTGTTACCATGGACTTTAGAGAGGAGTTAATCCATGTTAGTAACAATTTGTAATTTTACACTTTCAGATCAGTTTGTCACAAGGAGACCTACACGTTACTCGATTTTAGGATCCAAGAACGGTCCTCAGGTCCTCATTTAAAAGAGCTGTGTTGGCAGGGCCTGGGGCTGGTTGGTGGTATAGCGCTTACCAAGTACGCAGGAGGCTGAACTTAGTCCCCAGCCCTGCAGAATGGGAACTTGCACATGACCTCAGCTTGGCTAAGCATGCCTAAGCAGCCCGCTCTCAGGTATTAGGAAAACACAAAACAGGACTGGGTGTGGCAGCACAAGCCCCTAATCCTCCTAGCACTTTGGGGAGATGGATGGGGAAGAGGTAGAAGGATCTCTGTGGGTTCCAGGGTCCAGCCCAGTCTACATGGTGAGTACCAAAACAAACAAACAAACAAACAAACAAACAAAACCCAACAACAAAACACCAAAGTGGGAAACCCAAAAGCAAACCTCAACAACAAAAACCCCATAGAGACAATAATACTAGAAAGCAAAATCCAATTTCAGTACGCACGGCTTGCAGAGCTAAGGTGACAGGTGAGCCATCCGGGAAGTTCTGTTTTTACTACATAGTTGCTCTAGTGAAAGGAGACAGGAAGGGACGGGGTCTGTGCCGGCGGGATTTTCCAGTGGGAGCGCTCCTGTGCCTCCATAGCGTGCACTCCTTCGTGGGCTCCAGTTCTCTGCCTGCGAGCCTGTGTGGCTTCTAAGCTAAGGGCACCGAGGCTGGGCTGGCCTCTGTGAGCATGCGCACCTCCATCTCGGTCCAGAAGAAACGGGAAGGTTCGGCTTTACCTCAGCATCCTTCTGGGAGGAAAGTCCTGGAGCTCGGTTCCAGGAGGGCTCAGCCCTCAGAGGCACCTGGAAGAGAAATCCTGCTACAAGAACACAGCCAGGCAATGTGACGAACACTTTTATTTACAAATATAATTAAAAGCCCTGACAGTTAATCATGCTCTTCCTTGGAACCTGAAAAAATGTGTTGTTGTTTTGTGTGTGTGTTTTTTTAAGGTGCATGCAAAAGGAGTAAAGCCTTTTTTTCTTCATCATTTTTTATTGTAAGAAAATACACAGTTTGAAAGGATGAATAATGCAATATTTATGGCCAAAGATAGGGGGAGCGGGGAGGGGAAGGAGAAATAAACAGAGATGATCGGACTGAAAAGACATTGAACTCCAGAGACTGAACCGGAAACCGCGGGGAGGTGGGCGTGGGGTGGGGAGGAACAGGAGGAGGAAGTAAAAAAATTTTGATCAGAGAAACAGTTAAAATACAATATGAAAATAAGCAATTCCTCTCCTTAGATTCCCTCTATACACAAAATACATGATTTGCCAAAGCCCAATTTTGTGCTACTGGGATTCTGTGAGTTCCGTAAGTGTATTCGCACCGTCCGCAACAGCAGAGGATGCCGGGATACAGTAGACCAGGCTGACGGCAAGGCAAACTCTTGCCGGCAGGCTCTTAAAAATCACAAGCTCTCTCCACCCCACCCACCCACCCCGGCCCCAAAATAGTAATAATATGTTACCACTTCATATGTACATCACAATTAGTTCCTGTAAAATGTATCAAATTTTCAATCTTTAATAAAACTTTGTTTTTTTTTAATTCCTGATGAATAAATACCAAAAAAATAAAATAAAATAAAATATGCAGCAGCTGGTTAAGGTGTAAGGCTGCGGATTTTGTGTCTCTCTCCCCCTTGGCATGTATTACTTACTTAGTTTTTGTTCTTTAGATTTTGTGTTTGTTTTTTGCTTTACTTTCACTGGTTGGTGACAATGAGGGATTGCTTAAAGCAATATCCATCTGTGTTCCATCGCCGTTTGTTGGTTGACTGACTCTAGAACCACCTCCAAGGTTCTCAACAGAACATCGGTGAGCCACACCGGTACTTGGGTGTGGCTGGTGGACAGTAGGGGCGGCCGGGCCGGCCAGCATTGAAAGTTGACACAGGGGGAGGAAAGGGCCCCTGATGGAGTAAGAGTAAACAGGCACTAGTCCGACACGATGTCAGGAAGAGAGAGAGAGAGAGAGAGGGAGAGAGGGAGAGAGAGAGAGAGTGAAGTGAGCAACGCCCGTTAAAATGGGGAATGTAGTTTTGCAGGGTCTGAATTTTTTTGTTTTCTTTTTTTCATTTTTTTTTTTTTTTTTTGTAAATGGCAAAAAAATTTAATCTCATCTATAGTCCTCCTTAGGAAAATCTAATGTCACCAAATTCCCAAATCCCATTCTGAGGCTCTCCATGTCAAAAGTCTCCGTCTCTCGTTCTTGTCTTTCCAGGAGAATCTTGATTCTCTCGCTGCGTTCCTTCTGTAGGGCGGCCAGCTCCTCTTCAATCTGCACCAAGCAGAGAAGTGGGCCTCAGTGCCAAAGTTCGCCCCCAAGGCCACGAGGGAACCCCACGAGCGCATTCGTGAGTGAGTGTCATAAACACCCACCCACTCACCCCCCCCACACACTCACACACCCACACACACCCACACTCACACACACACACACTCACACACACACTCACACACCCACACTCACACATACACACACTCACACACACCCACACCCACTCACCCCCACACCCACACACTCACACACACTCACACACACCCACACACACCCCCACACTCACACACACACACACACACACACCCACACCCACACACTCACACCCCCACACACCCCCCCACATACACACACACTCACTCACACACACACACACACCCACACCCCCACACACACCCACACACTCACACACTCACACACTCACACACACACACACACACACACACACACACACACACGGGGAACAGCCTAGACCTGAGAGCCGGGAGCCCAATAATAAACTGTCTTTGATTTGATCCACTATGTCTCAAACTTGCTAGGGCTGGGTGTGGCTGGGTGAGTGGGGTTGGGGGGTGGAGGTGGTGACACTGTCTGAGCCTGGACCAATCAGGTCGGTGTCCTCTCTCTTGAGTATGAGTCTGTTGTGACTTGGCGGAGGACCTGAGTGAGCCTCCTGCACCCTTAGGGATTCGAGACTGGAGCAGTGGCAGGAAGAGAAGGCTACGTGCTGGGGAGACAGGGAGAAAGCGAGGGCAACAGGTTAAGCAGAGGGCGGTCACCAACTTGAGATGCTGAGTCTGGGTGGGTGTGGGCAGCATCAGTGTGAATACACCTGCAACTGAATGCGAGTGGATGGAGCCCTGAGGTCCCTTTTGGAGTTTTCCTCGGTCACTTCTCATCTTGTTTTCAGAGCGTTGCTGAACCTGGAGCGTGTGTTTCAGCTAGACTGGCTATCCAGACAGTCCCTGGGATCTTCCCGCCTCTGCCTCCACGGCCCGTAGGGGTACTCGTGTGTGTTCTCCTGTTTACCTTCTATGTGGGGGACTAGAGACTCGAACTCAGCTCCTCATGCTATCAGAGCAAGCGCTTTGCCTGTTGAGCCATCTCCCCAGCCCTGGGGATGCTTGCTTTGTGTGTACGTGTGCATGTTCACGTGGAAGCCGGAAGGCAGTGTCTGCGGTCATTTCTCACACACCATCTACCTTGTCTGTCCACACAGGGCTGCTCAATGGCTAAGTAGGCGGGGCTGGCTGTGCAGTGAGCCCCAAGGATCCACCTGCACCCTCCCAGTGCTGGGGTCGCGCGTGTGCTCCAGCACAGCTACTTTTTTGTTTGTTTTGTTTTAACGTGGGTGTTGGGGACAGAACTCAGATTCTCGAGTTTGCATAGGACGCACCTTCCCCCTGGACCATCTCCTCACCCCAGCTTTGAGATGCTTCCTGACTGTTCCCACTGTCTACATCGAGGCACAGTTTAAGGGGGATAATATTTACTGCATGCGGCAATACCGACCTATCTTTGTTTATACTCTTTTTTCTAAAAAATATTTTTACTTAATTATTTATGTCTGTGTGGTGTCTGTGTTTAGGTATGTGCATATGAGTGTGGTGTCTGTGGAGGCCAGAACAGGTGTCAGATTCTCTTGGAGCTGGAGTTACAGTTGTGAGCCACCACATGGGTGCTGAGAATTGAACCTTGGCAGCCAGTGTTCTTAACCTCCGAGCCATCTCTCTAGCACCTCATTTTGTTTCTTATTTAAAGAGCCCCGTGGATAATTTCTTTTGCTGAAAAAATTCCAATCCTATTTGACTTTCTGAGACTCCTGGGCAGCCACCTTGGCATCCCATAGTTCTTATGTGAGTGACGTCATCCAGCTGGCTAAGATGGTGGGCATCCAGGCTAAACCTCAGATGGTTGAGTAACCTTTCTGAGCCAGTGTCCCAGGCCTGGAGATAATGCCTGCCTTTCTTGGGCACCAGGGGTAAGTTGACAGTCTGATCCCTGGTCACCAGGGAGGGTTCCATTGCAAAACCTCGACCTTCCGAGACCCCAGCCCCACTGCACGGCTCCCCGGGAACTTCCTACCTTCTGCTCAAGATGCGCTCTGCGTAGAGACACCCTCTGCTCTAGCTTCTGCAGCTCGCGCTCATGCTGGGCCTCCGTCTGCATCTTGATTTTGCTCTGGTAGGCGTTGAGCAGCTCCATCTCCTGCTGGAGCTGTAGTCTCAAGGCCTGGCACTCTGCCTCCTGCGCCTCGTCTAGCCGTAACTGTGGGTACCGAAGAAGACACATGCTATATATATGTACATGCACACAGCAGCCCACACGCACCACTCTGGGGATGACTGGGAATGGTCTCCTTGTTTCTACTTAGATGGAAGGTCATAAACTTGATGGACACCGCACTTTGGATTAGAGCCAGTGGACTTGGCCCCCGGTGGTCACAGGATCCCTGAAGCCTGGCTCTGCCACTGTGGAGTGGCATTTTACCAATTATTCAGCCTCCTTTGGTCTCATTTCTTTCTTTTTCCAAGGAAACAATAATACATAATTCCCACAAAGATTGGCAAGTTTTAAATGAAAGATTCTATATAGGACCCCAATCCACATGTACTGCAATGCCCAATAAATAGCAGCTGTTATATTGTTTTAGTTTTGACGAGAGAAGGTGTCCCTATTTAAACACCTTTAACTATAAAATCAGGACACTTTTAAACGTGCTTAGTGCTACACAAGTGAATTCAACAATAATTCAGTGTGAAGACCATGCCACTGTGGCTGTTATGACCAAACAAATCATGCTGGCCATGGCTGTGGCTACACATGGCCTCTTTCAAGCCACAAACTCAGAACCCTACAGGTTCAAAAATCTCACTCCTTGGGAGCAGCTGATAACCTGAGGCGAAACATTTTGCTTCAAAGCAATGGGATCTAAGGTTATTCATGCATCCTTGCTCAGTTCTCTTTGCTTCTAGTGAGATACCGCAACCTTACATTTTGTACCAAGATTCCCAGATGTTATGTGGAGATGGGCCAAGTCCACCTACAGCATCAGGAAGGCCCGATTGTATGGAGATGGCCAAGTCTACCTGCAGAAACTCAAAGAGGCTCCTGTGGCAGGCCATTAGCAGAGCATAGCTAACTCCTGTGTCACAGGCTTGGGTATCTCTCCATGTCAGCCCCTCAGTTTGGCTGGGATTGCTAGGGTCAGAGCCCCCAATCACTGTGGCTGTCCTGAGTTTCTCTGTACCTCTCCATACAGGCCATTTCCCCCCAACCATCTTCACATGATCTATGCCTGACAAAGGATCACAGCGCCCGCAGCAGGAAGTGACTTTGGAAATGTTAACACTACTTGGAGAGCGTCATCTTAGGTCCTGTGGGGAATATGTGTTTCCCGAGTCCCACCCTAAACATTCCATGTTAGAAGTTGCAAGAGAGGACATGCCATTTGCTTCCTATTTCCACTGGGGACATAGGCAGGGTGGCAGTATAAACACAGTCAGTCTACAGCCAGAATAACGCACAGATGCTGCTGGAATGTCCCGTGGTGAAGACGGCTGTGGATTCTCTCCTGACCTGAGGGTGCCTTACCAGGGAGAAAACGACAGCCCAGCCATCCTCTGCTTCCATGAATTAGCTGCCGCCACGAGGCCAGCTAATGAGCGGCCAAGACTTTAGGTCTACAGTGGGCAGTTTAGACCCTGAAATGTCCCCCTCTGAGACAGGGTCTAATCCTGTCCACGCTGGAGCTGGAACCTGCCCTGCTATGCAGCCAAGGATGACCTTGAGTTTCCGATCCCCCTGCCTCTACCTCCCAAGGGCAAGTGTGCATTGCCCTGTTATGCTAACTGTGGGTATGTACCGCCATGCAGGGATTGCAGGTGTGTACCGGCTTGCTGGGATTATGGATGTGCACCACCATGCTGGAATTTTAGCAGTGCTGGTGACAAAACCCAGGACCGCCACCATGCTAGGCCAGCCCTCTGCCTCCCGCACCACAGCCCCAGCCTGCAGTTACGTTTGTTTCTGGCATTTCGCTGTCCTCACACTGTGCCCCATGCCAGCTCTGATCACATAAGTCCAGGTTCTAGAAACTCCAGGAGTTCTGGATTTTGGGATTTACCATCTGAAATCACACATACAAACCTGCTCTAAGGTCTATCATGATGTAAGGTGAGTATCAGGCTTGCGTCCTACAATGGCGTAAACAGAAGAGGAGGCAAGGGACTGTGCAGTTTAGCTCAGTGGTGGCCCAGCTTGCAGCTCACAGCCTCCACCCAAGACACGGTCCCCTCCCCCACAGTGCTGGAAACTGGGATGCTACAGCCCCAGGCTGTGTTTCTGTGTCTGTTTATAAATGAATAAAGTTTTACTAGAGCATGAACTAGGGAATGCAGATTCTCTCTCTCTCCCTCTCTCATACATGTAACTTCTGACAGACTCTCATACACATGTTTCTGACAGTCTGTCTGTCTCTCTCTCTCTCTCATACACATAATTTCTGACTGGTCTTCTGCAGAAATGAGCTGGCTAGTGGGATGGACACTCACATTTATGATTCCTTTACCGAAAAAGTACCAATTCCTGCCCTAAGTAGTAGTTAATGTGAATGGCCTCCCTTCAGTGAGCCTCTGGTTTGCACAGGTAAAGAGGGATTCACAGAAGGTTCTTAGAGGTTACACCCAGCTGGTGGCCCAAGGCCAGTGGTGGACAGCTGCGACAGCCACACTCAGAGTCACCTCATCCCTGTTTCCAAAGAGGGCACTGCTCTCCTCTTAGGCCATGTTCCTTACCCCGTGTCTGGCAATTTACATACTATGTTCCCTAGACTCTTGCTGCAGAGCCAGGCTGGGCTGTGGCTGGGTTGGTAGAGTCCATATGGGGCATGCACAAAGCCCTAGTCCCATCTCCAGCTCTGAATAAACAGGACGTGGTGATGAACATCTGTAATCCCAGCGCCTGGGAGGTGGGGAGGCGGGAGGATAAGGAGTTCAAAGTCAACCTTGGCCACATAGTGAGGTTCAGGCCCAAGAGACTGTGTCAAAATGAAACAAAAACCAAGACAGGAATCCTACCCAGTACTATCCCCATTACCCTTCTCTCTCCTTAACTCTCGTCTTCCACTCAATGTCCTCCACGTCCATCCCTCATGCAATGCTCCTGTTGATCTTTGTGAGATCCCTGAAGTGACTTCACCTCCCGGCAGGGTCTGCCACTGTTGAGGGCTTCCTTTCTTGCAATTCCTTGCCTCTAGCCTGGACTTTGTCCCTGATCTGAGCCACTGTGTAACCCTCCTTGTATCTTTCTCCTCACTCTGCTTCTTTCCCAGCTAGTTCCTGCCAGGCAGGGCCTCTGGGAATGTGGGTGCTCTGGGGCTTTAGCCCGGGTCCTCTTCTAACTGCTCCTCCAGAGGGCTCCTGTCTACTCCAAGACGATCTCTTGGCTAAATGCCGGCACACCAGACTCGCCCGGGGAGGTGAGTTCTCCAGGTTTGTCTCTCGGTTTCTTCTGTTTATCTGCTAGGCATTCACACCTGGGCTGTTTCCCAGACCACGAGTTTAACGTGGCCACTCATCCTTCCTGCAGTCCATTCCCCGACCTGACCCCACTGCCTTTTTAAATAAACCGTCACTGTCACCTGCCGTTAAGCTAACCCAGACACTTAGATCCTTCTTTGGTCCTCACTCGGCATCTTGGCCCTGCCACCAGCACACTCCCTGAACCTCTAGCCTGTCTCTCAAGCATGGCCACCTCTCTCATCACACCATCACATCTCTAGTGTGGGCATCACCCCCGTGGTCAGTCAAACAAGAACAGAAACACCAGAGTGGTCTCCCATGACGCTTGCCATCTCTCAGACCATTCTCCACGTGTCTCTGAGGGGTGGTTCCCAGACAGCAATATGACGCCACCAGGTCCTCTACACTTTAGTGCCAGTGTGTCGTGCTGAGGCCCGTAGACCCGATTGTCACCTGTCCCCTGTGCAACCCTCCCGTCGTATTCCCAGGCAAGATCCCTAGCTCTCCGCATCCCAGACAGAACCGATGCGTCTGAGTTCAGGTGGGCTGCAGCGTTCCCACTCCTGCAGCCCCTCTGCCTAAGTAGCTGTGGTGGTGGGGCCGCTGGGGTCACTCCCGACCAGGTTAGCCTTTCCTGTTCCACTGCCGCCATCTTGCTCTTGGCGTCCGTGCGTGCACAGCAGGCCCCTTCTGATGCTGCTTCCCTCGGTGTCCCCGGAGGGCCTGGCTGGGCAGTGAGGATGTATCTTATTCGCCATGGTATCCCCTCCAGGGACGCCTGGGTCACGGTGTAGACAATCACAAACACTTGTCGGGATGGATTGTCCCCTCCGCTTGCTACACTTCCACTGACGAGGAAGGGGGGGGTCCCCAAGTGCACGTTGTTCTTCTTTTTAATGGACAGGATCTCAGGTAGCCCGGTCTGGCCTTGAACTTGCTGCCATGTGGCTGGGGATGACTTTGAACTTCTGATTCTCCTGCTCCATCTTCCAGGTGCCAGGATCACAGGTGGGTGCCACCATGCCAGTTTGTGTGGCCTCGTGTGTTCTAGGTAAGCACTCTGCCCACCGAGCTGCAGCCGCATCCCTTTGAGGGGAAAGAACACCTTCTAGTCCGGCTGCTGTACCACACTGGCTAAAGCCACCGTCCAAAGCTGGGAGGCCATGGGTCACTGCTCTCGTGGCTCCTACATATTTGAACCCTCCGGTGGGAACCTTCGCTCGGCCGGCTGTGACTCGCTCTCTCCTGTCCCCTCCTGATCTTTGGTTACTCATCCTCTTTGATCTACTACTACCCAGACTTCAGACATGGATGGCTACCAGATCCTGTCCCCAGCCTGCTTCTCAAACTGGACACCCTGCTGCCCCCTTCTCGTCCCTGATACATCCACGTACTCTTAACTGTGACAGCTGCCCCCACAAGGCATGGGACCTTTTGTCTTTCATCCTAGTGTCCTTTATGACTTGCAGATCTCAGTACCTGTCTCTCTCCACACGGACACCTACAGGGCTCAGTGCTACCTCAGTCAGGCACTGTGCCCGCCATCGGAACTCACCCTCTTTCCTCAACTCTCCCAGGCTCCTGTCCATTCCTCTCTGAAACTCAATTCTCTGCCGCCCCTCCTAGTGTTCCCCTAACCCCCGCCCATGTGCCTGCCACCCAACCTCTTCCCGCTTGTGCTGTGGCAACTGCACACTGGACATCTGTGGCCTCTCGTGGTCGAGTGGAGGTTCTGACCCTCACTCCACCCCCACGTCTTACTCCCCGATGGCCGGGCTGGCCATTTGTTCTCAGACCCTTCGGGGCTTCTGCGTCTTTGCAGACTGCAACCTCAGGTGGAACTAATGTTTCTTTTCAGTAAACCATTGGCCGTCGGGGCTGGTCGCTGTGGGATGACGTCATCCAATTACCTGACAGACCCATTTCCTAACCTGCCAACATCCTTGGGATCTGGGACACAGTGGAGAGCTAGGAGAGACTAGCCTGGGAATAAGACAGGAGGGACACGTCATCATTTCTTCTAACCCTTCCCGTCTTGTATTTATGGCTGTGAGCCTAGCCTTTAGCGGCTGAGCCGTCCCTCCAGCCCCCTCCTTCCCTTCTTTGCAGTGCTTGGGGCTTTCCTGCAGCGGTCTACGGATGAGCTATATCCCTTGCCTTTGTTTTGCAAGACTGGGTCTCGATACTAGTCCAGGCCATCATAATCCTCCTGCCTCAGTCTTCTGAATGTTGGCATCACAGGTGTGCACCATGGCTCCCAGCCCAATCCTCTTCCTTGAACCCTGGGTCCACCCTCCATCTCTGAACCCCAGGTGCATGCTCTCCCCGTCTGGACCTCTGCCTGTACGGGCCCATGTGCTTTTGTTCTCCAGACATCTCCGGGCCAGCTTCCCTGTTCCTCCTTGTCCTTCCAAGGCCCTGGGTACCCCAGCAACAAAGTACTCAGTGTGCCTGGCTATTAACAGTCAACGATGTAAAACTTCCCAGCCTCCCTGACACAGCATAAGACCGTGTCTAGCTATCTCCACTGTCTCTGGCTCCAGCGCAGTGCTGCCTGGGGAGGCTTGGCCAGAGTTTATTTAGCAAATATGTCTGTCTATGCGTGTGTCTCCCCTCACTTGACCATGAGCTCGGAGGCGGCAGGGTCATGCCTGACACTGGGGTGGTTGTCAGTAAACATCTGATGAATGTGCATAGACACGCACATGGTACCCATCCCATCTCGCCCTCCCTGTGTGCGGCCCTCTCCCTCCCGCCGCCTGGACTGGCACACGGCTCCTTCAGCTCCATCTTATAAGACGAATCCCAGCGAGTATCCGCATGGCCTTGGCTTTACTGGGCGTTGCCATTTTCCTCCATTCCTCGGGCAGGAAAAGCAGCCACCAATACATCCTAAACCAACGTATCCCAGGAGGTGCTTGGGAAGGAATGAACGCCGGAATCTTGAATTTCCTGGAAATCCCAAAGGCTCTCGAAGCCGTGGCAACAAAACCTACCCACTTACCGCCTGAGAAGCCATCATCTCATTTATACTCTGTTCATACTGCTCTGCCAAAATGGCCAGTTTTCTCGTCTGCTCGTCTTTCAGTGTCTTTAAGATTGTTTTGTGCTCATTCTTTGGAGTGACTTCCAACTGGTGATTTTTGAGTGCTTTGTACTGTTTGGTCTGTACTTTGCAAGTGTCCTGAAACTGTTTTTTAATTTGCATTTCCATGGCCTGGCAGAAAAGGGGAGAAAGGTGGGTGGGGTAGGTTTGGGGGGGGGACAAAGAGAAAAAGAGAAGAGAATTAGTTCACATGGAAGTCCCCGGGTTACCCGACGACACAGAACCAGCACGGGACTCCCACACGGCAGCCATCAATCCAGAAAGCGAGGGGACGATGCGTGCCAGAGGTCACATTGCTCTGCTTTTTGTTTAAATGCAAAGTGGGTGGGAGTCATTTTTAATTGACAAATAAACGGCTCTAGGGGAAAACGGATTATAACGCGGGGGACTAGGATTCACAAGTAGATTGTGGGATACTATGAGACTCGTTCACGGGTTAGCAGTCATCTCCCTGGTCTCCTCCAAGTCTTTGGTGTTCACTGTGTTTTGGTACCCATCAATGTATGCCCTGCATCCTTTCATTGCCAAGTGAGGAAGGGAGTGATGCTCTACATCCAGCTCCCCCTGCCCTGGCTCACAATGTCTCCCCGAGACATCAATTGAAAAGGAACACCAGATGGCACTTCACACCCTAACCCATCCCCCCCCCCCCAGGTGGCTTCAGTAGAAAGTGAAAGAGCAGTGGCTCTGGCCTGTGACCCTGGTGAGAGTGTCCCCGGAGGTGATTATCAAATTTTCACTCTGGAAAGTGGGGGGGGGGGGGGAGGAGTACATGGCAGGCACAGGCCTCTCTGTAGTCACATGTCACCTGGTGGACACTCGGGGCTTCTGGGGGCAGGGGTCATGGATGTGCCTAGGGTTTGCCTTGAAGGGGCACTTGCCAGCGCTGACAACTGGCCTCTCTTTGTGACACACGCCAGTGGCTGAGGGCACGGAACGCGCCAACCAGTGCCATGCTAGAATTAGCTGGAGGATGCCAGGGCCAAAGGGTTTCCTCCATTTATCTCCCCACTGCAGCCTGGAGAGCCGGTCCCGAGTCCCAGGCCCATGGCAGATCCTACTAACTCTGAGTGTGGCTTTGTAGCCTTTATTTGTGCAGCAACATTGAACATAGCTGTTAGGGGCATAGCTTTGTCACTTACTGGGACTAGGACCATGGACAGCTCTCCACCCACTTTTGTTGGGGGCACTTGTATATGTGTCTGTGGAGGTCAGAGGACAGCTGCGGGTAGGTGCATCCATCTTGACAGAGCCTGGCAAAAGCCTGGAGCTGCTGAGCAGGCTAAGTGGGTGGCCAACCAGGGCCAGGGAGCTGCCCAGAAGTTCTGGGGTCACGGATATCATTTTTTGTTGTTGCTGTTGCTGATTTTGTTTTCTCTCCCTCCCTCTCCAACTTTCCTGTGTAGCTCTGGCTAGCCTGGAACTCACTATGTAGACCAGGCTGGCCTCAAACATATCTATGTACCTCTATGTGTGCTTGCCTGGCCCAACCTTTTTTTTTTTTTTTTTTTTTTTTTTTTTTAAACAGATTCTAGGGCAGAGTGGTTCTGAATCTTCCTAATGCTGCCACCCTTTAACACAGTTCCTCATCTTGTGGTAACCCCCAACCATGAAATTTTTTCACTGCTGCTTCATAACTGTAGTTTTGCTACTGATATGAAGCTTAATGCAAATATCTGTGTTTTCTGATGGTCTTAGGTGACCCTGTGGAAGGGATGTTTAACTTTCATAGGGGTGACGACCCACACGTTGAGAACCACTGTTCTAGGGGATAGAACACACGTCTTTCTACCTGCAAAGGCAACACATTCACTTTAAAGTTTCTAGTTCATTTCATATGTATGAGTGTTTTGCCTGAATGCGTCTGTGTCGCACTTGGGTGCTCGGTGCCCTCTTGAAGGCCAGAAGAGGGCACCGCAGCCCCTGGAACTGATGTTACAGATGGCTGTGAGTTGCCCTGTGGGTGCTGGGAATCACCCTGGGTCCTCTGGAAGAGCATCCAGTGCTCTTAACCACTGAGCCTTCTCTCCAGCCATTCCCTTTTGCCTTTCAAAGATGGTGGGTGACCAATGGCTCAGGGAGGCAGCACACAGAACTACAGGGAGGGCCGAGGACCCTGCAGTTTAGAAGGTCCCATTGCTGCTTCCCAGCTTGCAGAAGATGCCCTGGACGCCACACGTGGAGGGTCTGATTCTGTGGCCCCGCCCATTTGTGTGGGGATTGGACGCCACACATGGAGGTTTTCATTCTGTGGTGGGACACAGATAGGCCACTGTGGCCCCGCCCACCCCCGTGAGGATGCGCACAGGGTTCTGGCTGTGTTGCTGGACTCTTACCTTTAAGTTTTTCGGTTGTTGCCGAAGCTCCATGACGTGCTTCCGGTGCAGCTCCCGCTCCCGCCTCTTATTATACTCCAGCTGGTTCTCCAGCTCCGTCTGGTGCTGTAACCGGATCAGATCCATTCGGAGCTTCTGCAGTGTATGCAGCTGTCTGTACTCTAGCTCTCGGGTGGACTCGTCATGCCTGATCAGCATAGCGTGCTCCATTTCCTTCTGGGTCCTCTTTTTATTTAGTTCCTGCATCCGGGAGCAAAAGATGAATGGAGAGCGATGAGCGGAGGGGAGAGGGAGGGACACACAACATGGTGAGGGATGGCTCTTATTTAAGGCCATTAGTGTTTGCAGCATGACTTAGTGAGGTCAGAGGGGCAGCCCCTGGAGCTTTGTGTTCTGTGATGAGGCCCCACTATCAAGATGGAAATTTGTCAGCGGTCATAACTGCACTATCTGGGAAATGGGATTAATACCCCTGGGTTTCCCTGCCTCAGAGGGGCTGTGGGTCTTAAGATTGTGCAAGACTTTGGTGTGTTCGAGCTAGGGGCTCCCATGCTGGCTACCCACTAAAATCATGTAAGGAAACGCACCCTCAAATTCTGACAATTGCCTGGGACCCCTGCCCGTTTCTATTTTAACGCCTTCTCCAGGCGCTCTTGTTATTCGAGCATCCAGGTGACTCTGCTATGGAAACAATGTTGGGAACTAATATGGGAATATCTATCTGCACTGCCCTCGGCTTTCGGGGAAATACCCTGCTTTCGTAAATAACAGAAGTAGGCCAATTATCTGTTTTGTAAAAGCGGAGCTTAGGGTATGCTGGGAGAAATCAGGGGACACCTCTTCCCTTTCATCTGTCCTATAGCAGTCAGTTCGATCATTTCTCTCCCCTCCCTCCCTCCTTCCCTCCCTCCCTCCCTCCCTTTTCCTGTGGCACTGGGGGCTGAACCCAGACTCTTGCACATGCCAGGCAATGCTCTCTCACTGATCCACACCCCGACCTCTCCTTAGTTCTATTCATGCCATCTGATGCTTCTCCCTCCCTCCCTTCCTCCCTCCCTCCCTCCTTCTCTCCCTCCCTCCCTCCTTCCTTCCTTCTCTACCTACCAACCTGCCTTGGAGAGTGGGGAAGGGTCCACCAGGAAAAGAAACAAAAGGTCAAATGTAAGGTTCTTAACCACTAACTTGAAACTACTTTCCTCTCTCACTCCAAACTGGGGATTGATTCTCGGGCCACAGGCTCTGAACCTAGAGCCTTGCACTTGCTAGGGAAGCACTCTGCCACTGAGCTATATCCCCAGCCCCTTGAGGCCATTTCCTCAACGTGCTAGTCACATAGACCTAAACCACGAGGCCTGGATTCATGCCAACGTTCACTAAGTGGTGGCTGCTGCCCTAGACTTGGGGACACTAATGGCGAAGCAGGTTCTGGCCTCACAGCTGACGGGATCCAAGGTGGGTGGAAAGCCTAGTTTGGGTCAGCCTATTTTCTCTCCTAGGAGTTGTGACTACTCAGGGCCAGTTACTACTGTGGTGGCTGGAGTGAGGGCACACACAGAAACCATGGGATGGTCATCTGTTGCTGTGAGGGATGAGGTTTAGATAAAGCTAGACTTCAGAAGAGAGGGAGGAGGAGATGGGAGGGGGAAGCAGAGGGAAATATAGAGAGGGAGGGAGAGATAAATGGGTGCAGTGAGCATTTTGTACCCAAGTCTTGGCTGCATTTCAGCCCATCTCTATGGCCAGCTGTATTAACTGCTACTGAGGAGTTTTGTTTCATTCCTGTTCTGTTCCCTGCCACCCTTGGGGACAGAGTCTAACTACATAGCCCAGGCTGGCCTCGAACTCACAGAGATCTGCCTGCCACTGCTGCCTGCGTGCTGGGATTAAGGTCATGATGGCTATGCCAGCTGCTTTTGAGTCTTATTGGCGCTTTTCCTGTTTTTCTACAGTAGCACTCCTGGTCTGGACTGAAGCCAACTCAAATAAATTCCAGTTAACATGCAAGCAAGAGAGCCTTAACCAGCATAGGGAAACAGACTCTGTACAAATTTAAAAGGGGGGAAAAATCAGGGCTGGGAAGCAGGTGCTCCAGAAGGGGTGTGTGTTATGAAGCTTTGTGGAAGAAAGCTTGGAGCTGGACTTGGCAGGGGACCAACTGGGTGCCCAGCCTCTCTCATGCTTTTCTTTCTATTGGTTTCTTTTTGCCTCATTACAACAACCACCGGCTTCTTCTTTTAAAAAGAATTGTTTTATGTCTACGAGTGCTGGAAGAGGCCTAAGAGGGATCAGATCCCCTGGAACTGGAGCTGAAGGTGGGTGTGAGGCTGTGTGTGGGAACTGAACCCAGGTCCTCTGGGAGAGCAGCCAGTGCTCTTAACTGCTGAGCCACCTCCCCAGCCCCGACTAAATGTCATTTTTCCAAAGACTAGTGAGTGAACCCTGGGTGGTACCACAGGAAAGTGGCCCTTCCCACAGATCAAATGATCATATCAAGGACCCAGCCCATGCCAGGGAAAGCTGCATAAGTGGGTGACGGTCCCTGTCACATGGTCAATTGAGCCACAGCCCCACGCCAACTCCAGAAGCCCAATTCGAGCTCAGGTGGCTCAGAGTCTAACAATAAAAGATCAAGCAAGTACTTTCAGTGGATGTCATGGGCTTCTCTTCTGGAATGGAGTGGCTCTGGGTGCTGAGGGACACCTGCACAGGATGCTGTGGGACACCTGTGGGTGCTGAGAGACACCTGCACAGGATGCTGTGGGTGCTGAGGGACACCTGCACAGGATGCTGTGGGACACCTGTGGGTGCTGAGGGACACCTGCACAGGATGCTGTGGGTGCTGAGAGACACCTGCACAGGATGCTGTGGGTGCTAAGAGACACCTGCACAGGATGCTGTGGGTGCCCAGGGATACCTGCACAGGATGCTGTGGGTGCTGAGGGACACCTGCACAGGACTCTGTGGGTGCTGAGGGACACCTGCACAGGACGCTGTGGGTGCCCAGGGACACCTGCACAGGACTCTGTGGGTGCCCAGGGACACCTGCACAGGACTCTGTGGGTGCTGAGGGATACCTGCACAGGACGCTGTGGGTGCTGAGAGACACCTGCACAGGACGCTGTGGGAGCCCAGGGACACAGGGAAGCCCTTAGCACAGACTTTAGTTTCTTCAGGCATAAACTCAGGGCTTCCCACCCAGCACAGAAAATGCTTGTGAAGACGAAGTGACAGGCCCTAAGAAAGCGCTTCAGAATGTAACTATGGGACATTGTTTTCCCGTACTTAGAAATGAATAGCTGGCTGGTTTTACAAATAGTTAGAAAATGTAAGTATGGTACCACGAATGCTTTTGGTTGCAATTTTTAGTCTGGCCTCTATATTGCAAATCCTACATCTCAGTTATTGAGGCGTAAGATGGCTAGCTGCCTATAACAGTACAAGGAAACCCTTCTTATCTTATTTCATATCTGTCTTACCCTGAGTCCAGTACTGTGCGTACATGATAACAAGCAATACGCTTTCTTTTTTCCTTATGTAGGAGTCTTACTATGGTGCCCAGGCTGGTTTCCAACTCCTGCACCCAAGTCATTCTCCTGCCTCAGCCTTCTAGTTAGCAAGACTTGAGGTATGAACCACTATACCCACTTCTCAAAAAAAAAAAAAAAAAAAAAAAAAAAATTCATACAGCTCAGCCAACTTTAACTGCATCTCTGTAAGGTGGCAACCTTGCAAAGATTTTTATTTCTTTTTTGTTTAGTTATCTTTTTTTAGACAGTGTGGATGTCCTGGAACTCAACAGAGATCCACCTGCCTCTGCTTCCTGAGCGCTGGGATTAAAGGCTTGTGCCACCACCCTGAGGGTTCCTTATAAAGACTTTTGTATGTAATCATGAGGCACTGGGAAGCTGAAGGTCTAAGATTACATACAACTTCTGTGAAGTTGAATAGAGGTTAAAATTCTGGTGTTTGGGTTTTCTACATTTTCTTCAAAAAGAGATTCCAGTGAGGGGTATCTTCCAGTATTCTATTTTTCCAATCTGTGCTAGAATGCTCTAGACACTGACAGCACATTATATGTTAGAGACAGGCATGTCTGTGGCTTGTATAAAATTTTAAAAAATGAGTTGAATCAGAGCTTATGGTGTCAGTGAACCTGCCCACCAATGCCCCAGGGGCAGGGAAGGCAGAGGCTTTTCCACTAAGCACAAACTCCAATCCTTTTCAATGGTGTTTAGAGTCAGGGACTTGACAAGCTGTCCAGGCTGGCCTCCCAACTCATGATTCTCCTGCCTCAGCCTTCCCAATGCTGGGATTACAGGTGTGTGCCACCACACCTGGCTTAGAATTCAATGGTGCCACTGTTGGACAGTACATTTACCAATTTCTTAGTTTTGGTATCTGGACGGGGTTAGGAAGGCTCAGCCAGGCACTGGTGTTCCTTTACGCTGGCTTTGTGAGTTGAAAGGAGTCCTGAGAGTCGGCTCAGGCAGGGGTGAAGGAAGTTTGGTCCACTGGAATCACAGACTCCTAAGAGGGCGACCTGGTGACATTTGTCTATCCGTCTATCTGTTTTAAAATTTTTATTACTCTATGAGTGTACATGTGGTTTTCAGGGATCAAGCTCCAATTAGCAGGTGCCTTGTACTGAGGAAATGCCCCCATGAGATCCGGCTGTGAGGCATTTTCTCAGTTAGTGATCAGTGGCGGAGGGCCCAGCCCATGGTGGGTGGCGCCAACCCTGGGCTGCTGGCCCTGGGTTCTAAGAATGTGGGCTGAGCTAGTCATGGGGAACAAGTCAGTAAGCAGCACTCATCCATGGCCTCTGCAGCAGCTCCTGCTTCCGGGATCCTGCCCTGTGTGAGTTCCTGTCCTGACTTCCTTCAGTGGTGACCAGCAATGCAGAAGTGTGAGCCAAGTAAACCCTTTCCTCCCCTGCTTGCTCTATGGTCATGCTGTTCTGTCACAGCAACAGAAACCCTAAGGCTCACCTTTACCTCCTGAGCCCATTATGATATGTGTGCATGGAAATGCTTAGTGACTGCTTTATCTGCAGGGCCGGGGATGGAACCCATGGCTTCGTGCTTGCTATGTGAGCTGTCTGCCGCCGAGCCACACCTGGAAACACTAAAGACACAAAGATGTTCTCGGCGGTGGAGGTGACAATGACAGTCACCTTTCCCCAGGTGTCCCGAGAGGAACGACACTGGATATGTGTGTGACTGTGGGGGGCCCTGAGATGCTGTGTGTGGTATCTGCTATTTCTGCACTCTTCCCCTAACCTTCCTCTTCTGCTCTAAGCAAGGACCCCATCCTTGCTAGAATCAGAGTGTTGCTTGAAGGACGGGCACATTACTCCTCAAGTTCTCTCTTAGGGACTGGATTTGGTACAGAAACGGTATGTTAACAGGGTTGAGGAGGTACAGCCTAGTGTTGATACCCAGAGGAGCACATCTCTTGCCCTCTGCATCATGGAAGGCACGTCTCCTCATCATTCCTCTGCATCATGGAAGGCACGTCTCCTCATCATTCCTGGCTTTTTCCTTCAGCTCTGTTACCTTCCAGTTAATTCTGGGGCTGCAAAGATGGTGCACTGCTTAAGAGAGCTTGCTGTTCTCAAGGACCTGGGGTACCCGGGTTCCCAGCACCCACATGGTGGCTTACAATTGCCTGTAATTCCAGTGCCAGAGGGACCCACTACCCTCTTCTGTCCTTTCAAATATAATTTCATAATGAATACTATGTCAAAGCATCACACTATATACCTTAAGTGTAGACAACTTCTATCCCATAATTAAAAACAACTTCTCATATTACACTTTCTAATTTTCTATTTTTCAGTGTTCTTGCTGCTTTTGTAAATAGAAAAACACTGGACATTTTCACGAAAGTGGTTCTAGAATAAGACTAAACTGGAGACTCTCTCACAGGGTTATTCTGTGTGTGTGTGTGTGTGTGTGTGTGTGTGTGTGTATACAAATGTGTGTAGTGCCCTTGGAGGCCAGAAGGGGGCACTGGATTCCATGGAATTGGAGTTACAGGTGGTTGGGAATAGCCTTATGAATGCCAGGAACTGAACTCAGGTCCACCACAAGAACAATGGATGCTCTTAACTGCTAAGACATTACTTCATGAATACAGTTTTTTTTTTTTTAATCATGTTGAGGAGTAGTTACTTTCTATAACTTTTATTGATAACTGATCCCTTGGCCTCACAATTTCCCTAAATATCTGCTACTGGAATAACAGTAATTGTCAGATGAAAAAAAAAAATCTTATTTCTAACTAGCTATAGTGCTTTTTATTTTTTTTTTTAAAAAACCACGTGTATGTGTGTGTTGTGTCTGTGTCTGTTGTGTGTGTATACATGGTATGTATCTATGTGTCCATTGTGTGTGTGTACTGAATGTGAGAACATGCCATGCAATGCATGTATGCGAAGGTCTGGGGTTCTCCAGTCTCTGTCTCCCTTCTTGCTCTATAAACCACAGAGACTTCAGGCTTGCAGAGGAGCGTGCACAGTGAGCCCCGCTTTAACCCACTTTCCGAGGGCATGGGGGGCGCACTAGGGACCTCATGCTTTGCTTTCTGAGGGCACGGGGACCTTGCATGGCAGGTACTTTACTCCCTGAGCCATCTCTCATATTTCTTTATTGGTTCTCTCAAGTCTGGAATATTCAGTGCTTAGATGATTTCTTACCAGAACTTCTCTTCAAGCTTGTGTTTCTAGCTAGACTTTAATGTCTCCAAGGCTCCAACCAGAGAGTAATTTTGATTCTACTATCTCTCCTTTCAATGGCTGCTAAGACCTGTTGGTTCTTGCTTTTTCTTTTGTTTAGGTTTTTGAGACAGGATTTCTCTGTGTTACAGCCCCTGGCTGTCCTAGAACTTGCTCTGTAGACCAGGCTAGCCTTGAACTCACGGAGATCTACCTTCCCCTGCCTCCCCAGTGTTGGATTAAAGGTGTGAGCCACCACTACCCTGGTGGTTTAATTTTGAAGTCAGGTTTCTTGTAGCTCTCTTACTGGCTTCAGACATCTCCTGTGTGCTGGGATTGAGGGTGTGAGACACCATACCCAGTTTGGGTGGTGGGATTCAGGGCTCTGTCGTGCTAAGAAAACCCTCAGCTAACTCCAAGTCCCATGTGTTCTGTCTGAGATCACGACTCTGACCCGGCTGTCTTTCAGCCCCTCACCACCACGATGTCGTTCCTCGTTTCCCACACGTGGTCTTTTGTTTCTCATCTCTTCTCTTTGAACAGCTTATTCTCAAACAGTTATTGTTGCTATCACCTCCGTCATGAACCTGTCTAGTTTTCCTTGCCTTTATTTACTCGTATGACATCAATACATCAGCTCCGCCGTGTGCCTCTGTCCACGGACTGTGGTCCAGCAGAGCACCCCATACTATCACACAGTATCTAGACCCCTCTTCCCATCCAAAAACCCAATGTCATCCCCTTGGGATAAGTTTGAACTTCACTAAGGACCCTGGACCCATGCATCACTCCACACGAAGTTCATCTCCCTCTCTCTCCCTCTCATTCTCTCTCCTCTACTATCTACCAAACCACTGCACAGATCAGGAGTGTCCACCAGTTTCTCCTTTCCAGATGTCAAAACACAAACACAGAGCCTGGCTGCTCTAGAGTGGTTGCTGGGCAGCAAATCCCAGGTGGTTTTGCTCTTCCCTCTTATTTGAACCCTGCTGAGAGCACTACCTATTATGATTCCAGCATTCAGGAGGCTGAGGCAGGAGGATGCACAGTTAAGGTCAACAGGTCCCCGGGACCAAGAAGGTTTTCTGAAACACTTGCCCCAATTGCTGTCCTGTTAATGGTACCTGAGGTGGCTGCTTCCCCCATGGATGTGAACACTGGGTTTTTGTGAACCATAGGTGGCTCAGTGGTGTGTCCTCTCAGATTATTAACACTTTCCTGACACACTGACATGTCCTTCTATAGCCTCCATCTCAGTGAGGGCCATTACGCCCATCTAGTCTCCTAAACTGGAAGACTGGTAGTTAATGCTATAGTTATCATTATTGCTATTATTATTGCTGTTATGATTGCATGTATGGGTGTGGAGGCCAGAGGCTGACATTGTGTGTCTTCCTCAATTTCTATCCACTTTATATTTCCAGACAGCGTTTCTCTCTGAACCCAGAACTCCTTGATTAGCCTGGACGGGATGGACAAGCCACAGTGTCCTCCTGTCGCCCCTCCCGGGCAGGGATTACAGGTGCACACACTCTGTAGCGCCTGGAGTTTTGCTTCGGTGCTGAGAACCTTGGTCCTCACGCTTGCGTGGCTTTGCTGACTGAGCCATCCCTCCAGCATTTTTGAGATGTGGGCTTCCTATGTAGCTCAGGCTAGCCTCAAGCTTGTGATCCTGTCCCAGTCTCTTGAGCAGAAACCACTCTGCACTCCTCTGTTTGAAATCCCCATGGGAAACTGGTAAAAACGAGCGGCAGCTGACTTGGGGAATGCTTCTCTGATATAACCCACCCAGACCTTTGGCAGCCCCTGAATCCCAGCCTGTCACTGTCACTCAGGTAGGACGCTGACATTAGTCAGTTTTGTCTGTTTCCCTTCCCAGGCCTTAGCAGCCACGTGCTGCTCGGTAGCCCTGGTGGCTGCCACAGAGCCTGGCACGGAGGAGGCCCTCAATGGCACCTGGTGACGAGTGAATGTGACTGCGTGCAGAGCATCCCACCATCATTTAAGAGACTCATGTGGAGTCACAAAACCTAGGCCCCGACAAGCAGCCTCAAGAGGAAGCCTTCCTCTCTCTGTCACGCCCCGCTTTGTGTGACAGGATGCACATGCCCCTTCATCGTGACACAGCTTTTCACCTGTTTAAGGCTGGTCCCTGCGCTAAAAGTGGCTTTCTCTTACCGGAGGTAACTGCATTCATTCCCTGCCGCGCTTTGCCCGGGACTCTTGCCTGGCGCTAACGGCTAAGGACACAGGGATGGAGGAGACTGACCCCCGCACTGCCCCTCAGACGGCTTCGGCGTGACAAATACCTCCCGAATGTTCTGCTGTTCCACCTCATGGCGCTTGACCATTATTTTCCGCTTGAAGAAGCGGCAGTTTCTGTCGTAGTAGAGTCTCTGCTGGGTGAGCAGGTGGGCTTCCTCCTCAGCCTGCGTGTGCTGCAGGTTCTCTTTATGCTTCGATATCCGCTCCTGCTTCTCCTTCTTCGGTGTGCTGTGGTCCTCGTTCATTTCCTGAAAACAACCACAACGCACACGTAAGGCCTGTCAGATGGCATGGCACCCAGGAGGCCGCTGAGTGTGGATGCCAGCGTGGAAAGGCTTTGTGGTAAACGAGCCCCACTCCCCTTCTTCTCCCCTGCCTACGGCTCCAGTGTTAACTGAGGGGGACAGCTGAGTGCACCTTGGTCTGGCTTCTCGCTCTCAGAGATCATTTATTCAGTCATGGGCCAGCGACTCTGCCACAGGACTCCAGGTGGCAGGTGAGCGAGAGACTCGGGACGCCTTGACCCTCAGGGCTGGGCATTGCAGAGTCAAACCCTGCTGAGGTGACTGTCAGGAACCCGCCTTCAAAGGAAGGACCGGAGTCCCCAAGGAGCACTGGGTGGAAAGTACTTGACCTCAGTAGGGACTGTGTCGATGGCTGAAGGGGGGTGGGGAGTGAAGTAGGGGAAGAGAGAAAAAAATATTCCTGATGGAGGGAATAGCCCGTGAAAAACTCTTGGCATAGGGTGGGGCTAGTATAGGGTTAATAAATTGGTTAAGAGGTAACAGGTGGCAAAGGCTAGCGGGGTCTCCTGGCCAGGAGGATGGTCAGGCCGATGGACTGGTAGATCAAGTTCAGGCCAGTGTTTCACACAGTACTTGGGTTGAGCCGAGGGACTCAGAGGTGCTAGGCAAGCCCTCCATGGAGGAGCTACATCCCAAGCCCACCAATGACCTTTAGTCTAGGAGAAATGGCTGTGGCATCATGGGAAAGAGGGTGCTGGCTGCTGTGTGGAGAGCAGGGCAGGGGCAGGCCCGGACTGTGTCTGGGGAGGCAGCTGGGAGTCTCCTGGGAAGGTCAAGTTGAGGGAACCAAGTGGCTTGGAACAAGGATGAGGCAGAAGACTTTAAGAGTGGTTGGGTTTCAAACTTAGGAAGGGACTCTGCAGATGTCGCTAATTTGAGTCCCAGAAGAAAAAGAACAGCACTTCAGCTAGGGTCAGAGGGTTGAGGAAACCATGCATAGGGAATCTCCACTCTGGCTTCCCAGGACATGTGGGCAACGTGAACAACGTGAAGAGGGCTGCAAACTGGGAGAGCTGGGCTGCTAGCCTGCGGAGAGGGCATGGCAATACTTCTGGGGAGGGTACAGTGCCTCAGCCACCTAGGTTCATATCAATGAGCTTTTTGTATGTTTGGTTAAGCCTCACACATCTGAAACCACTTGTCTTTCATAATGTTTATCACCGCCACTGTTTAGATTAGTTTGCCCTTAGCCAGTAAGTCCTTGTAATCAGAGACCATGCGATAGAGGCTGGGTGGCACATCTCTTTAGGGCACGATGCCACCCCTAAGTTCATCATGAGCCCCAAGTTTGCGTGTTTAAGCTCAAATGTGATCTTGACAAGTCACTCCAAAAGCAAGACTGGATTATTAATGTCCTTCCCATACCCCTGTGACTGGTCCACAGGCGAAATTCTAGAGGTATGTGAACATACATGTGATGAATATGCTCTACTCATAAGTGGCTGAGACCACCTTAGCTTGACTTTAGGCCTGCTTTTTTATTTTTTTTTTTTTTTCCCTAGGAAAAGGCCCAAACATTCTATGTTATCTAAGTACGATGGCCCACAGCTAACCTGAGGACTGGGTTGGGAGTGAGACAGGACTCTGGAATGGGCGTTTTGTAGAGAATCTTTTAAAGGTTGACCTCCAATATCCTGGTCTTACAAACGCCCAAGATGGCAGCCATGCTTCTAAAGGATGGCCTCCAGGGCAGGAATGAGTACACAGAGTTTATAAAGGAGAAGGTATTTGAAGTTGAGGGAAATAGCAAAATTTCCTATTTAAAAAAAAAAAAAAAATCAAAGCAACCTCCAAGATCCAGCAATATCCTGTCAATCACAGAAGGAAAAAAGGAAACCCCGATGAGACCATGGACCTTTTCTTCACTGGGCTATTTCTGTTGTCTCTCAAGTTTCCAGAACTCAAGGGAGTCAGAGACACCTGGCATTCAGCCAGTCTGGATCAGCTGTGACAATGTCTTACCTGGGCAGGGACTGAGATGCCTGGATACCCCAGCCACCTCCTCCCGAATGGCTTCACTAGGGCAATGGCCCAGACTGAACTTTATTAAACCTCAGTATGCCCAGGAAGCCTGCAGACAAGGAGTCCTAACCCTTAGAGAGGGTCTCCTGTCGATCCTGGGAAAGGGGAGTGGTGACAACTAAGTTGTCGGATGACAGGAGTGTTCCTCCAGGGACTCTCCTAAGTCCACCTGAGCTCTTCAACCAAGCATTCTAGAATCATCTGTTCACGTAGCAAACAGACTCGTGTACCATACACAAGACATGCTCTCTGCTCTTGTGGCATTTAGCAGCTAAGAAAGGACCTTGAATAATTATCAAAAACTCTAGTTTCATGGAACGGGAGAAGTGCTGTCTGGGCCAAGGCGGTTAGGAAAGGCTTCCCGGGGGAAATGGTATTTGAGTTAAGGTTTCAATAATCAATCCTAACTCCTACGAGGAGGAGGAATGAACTGCGTAGCTGCAGATGGGGTAAAGAGATGCCACATGCACAGGCCTCGAAGGGAGAGCTCGTTCCACTGGAGGAGCTGAGGGGTGTCAGTGGGGATGCAGCAGCCGTGAGTAGGCTCGGGTGGGGAAGGCGCGGAGGTGAGGGGGGCCGGGAAGGGGAGGGTGGTGGTCAACCATGTGGGGTCTTTAGAACTTCAACCTTCTCTGAGGACAACGGGAAGGGATTTCAAAGGATGTGATGAGTTTCAAATGGTTTAAAACAGTTTCTCTGGTGGATGTGTGGAGAACAGGTTGGAACGCAGCCCCGGGCTCAGCGACACTGGCCTCCTGTGGGACTCCCAGAAAGGTGAGTTTTCCAACTCCACTCCAGGCCTCGTGAAGACGGGAGGCTGGAGGGGTGTGGCACCCTGGGCTTTAGGAAGTCTTCCAGCAATTCTAATGAGAAGTCAGAACTGCTGGCTTCAAATGCTGATCCCAGCGCAAGAGGGGCCATTCCAAACTTAGGCCCTTCAAGGTGCAGCGGGTGACTGAGGTTGGTGCAGGTGTCCTTACCTCTTTTATTTTTTCCTTGCAAATCTTGTACTGCTTTTTCTGACTCTCTAAGAAAGTTGTCAAGTCCTTCTTCTGCTGGGCCAGGATCTGTTGCTGGAACTTCTTCTCATCTGCTGCGGCTACCTTCGCCTGAGAGGGTGACAGAGGTGGCCAAGGTCAGCCTGAGCATCATGGACTCGACTGTTCACGAGTGCCAAATAATGTCACCCCTGAACAGAGAATGAAAGACTATTTAAAGATATGTCTCCCTAGCTGGGGGACTAGGAGGGTGTTAGTGGTGCCACACGCCTTTAATCCCAGCACTCGGGAGGCCAAGACAGGTAGATCTCTGTGAGTTCAAAGCCAGCCTGGTCTACAGAGCAAGTTCCAAGACAGCCAGGACTGCTGCACAGAGAAACCCTGTCACCAAAAAAAAAAAAAAAAAAAAAAAAAAAAAAAAAAAAAAAAAAAGATATGGCCTCTATGGCTCTTTTGCATCTTAAAAATACATTCCCAATGATAGGGGAAATATTAAGGTGGACCAGAAACGTGTATCTGTGTTTATGTGTACATATGTGTGTGGATGCATGTGAACACCAGAGACCAATCTCAAGTGTGGTTCCTTGAGGGCCACACACCCATACCTTATCTGTCTGTCTATCTGTCTATCATCTATCTTATCTGTCTGTGTGTGAGGGTGGTGTACACCTGTGAGTGTGGTATACACGTGTGTGTGTGTGTGTGTGTGTGTGTGTGCGTGCTCGTGTGAGCACACTCATGGATGCCCCTCTCTATCACTGTCGACCTTACCGGTTGGAGACATGGTGCCTTGCTGAATCTGAAACTAGGCTCATGCCCAGAAAGCTCCAGTGATCCCCTCCCTCCTCACCACCCTGGAGTTACAGATATATGTAACATACAACCATGGCCATGTAGGGGGCTGGCACCAAACTCAGGTCCTCATGCTTACATGGTAAGTGCTCTTATTATTGAGACATCCCTCTCCCCATCCCAACACTCACCCTCACCCATCACTCTGGTTTCGTGCCTCCCGCTGGAGTGAGGTTTAGCACTGATTAGGCTAAGCTGGCTAGCCGGTGGGTCCCAGGTATCTGCCTGTCTCCCCCTTTCCAGTAAGATTACAGGCATGTGCAACTAACTATGCCTGGCTTATCATTCCTTCCTAACAGGAAACATGTAATAGTAATGAAGGCATCGTCTTGATTCTTTGTCTTCTCATTTTATCTGTTTTTCTTCTTCTTCTTTTTAATGTGACAGGGTACCATGATATAAGCCAGGAAGGCCTTGAACTTGGAATCCTCCTGCCCTGGTACCCAAGTCCCTAAGAATACAGGTGTGTTCGAACACATCTAGAGAGAGGGTTTTGCAAATTAGTTTGGAGGGCAGAGAGAGTAGAGTCTCAGGTAAGCACGATGGAGGTCTTGGTTCCATCCCCAGCCCTACCAAGAAATCAACTAACATGATTACATTGGTTAAGGACCTGGATGGGAAGAGAGATCTTCCCTCAGAAAACTCGAATCACAGCCAGATTTCTCCCTTGTGGCCAGTGGCTGGTATAGTGGCAGCCACAAGCAGGGTGTTCCCCACTAAAGGGGCTGTTTGAGGAGGATAGGGGTGTGGCAGACACAGACGGACCTGAGCATGTCCTCAAAGACACTGGTGGCATTTTGTTTCCCTTGGGAACCCTGCTCCCAACACAACAGAGTGAAACCACCAGATAATTTTATCTTCTACAGTAACCTCAGGTAGGACCCCCAACCCAGCAACAGTGGCCCCCTGCCACTGGTGGGGACTAGCTAGGGCTGGCAGCACCTAGGCGCTCCTGCCCCCACACCCTCAGCTGCCCACCCTGCACCTGAGGGCCCCTCCCTCTCCCCCCCACTGACCTCCTTTTCAATGGTAGCCACTTGCTTCTTGGCCAGCTTCTCCAGCTCGATGGATGAGTTGTTGGCATGCGTCTCCACCTCCTTCTGGAGCTTGAGACGGTGCTCATCCATCTCAGCCTTCAGCTTGTTCTCCAGGGCGATCAGCTGCTTCTGGTGCTGGCGCCGCATCCGCTTATAACCTGACATCTGTTCCCGCAACTCGTTCTCCTGCTCATGCTCGTGGATCTGCCGTGTAACCTGAGGCAGGTGGTGGGGGCAGAGCTCGGGTCACTGAGTGCAACAGAGCTGGACACCGGCATCCTCAGCAGCCTGTGGCTTCCAAGCCTCCAGATGCTGACCTGGAGCGGGGGCTCTGCTGGACATTCCGTCATCCTCAAAAAACATCTCATTTGCACACTTTTACACACTCACGAGGTAGGTGTTACCACTCATTTAATAAAGAGGTTGAGACTTGAGGGAGATCATTCATATGTATACCACACACACACACACACACACACACACACACACACACACACACACACAGGGACCCCTCCAGGTGAGAGGCTGTGCCTCTTCAAGGGATCACCCTAATGGGGGGATAGACAGATGGACAGACATATACACACACCAAGTTTTTTAACCCCATGTCTCCCTTCACCTCATCCCTAAATGAGCTGCCCCCAAGTTACATTTTTGTTTCCTAAAAAGGAGAAAATGTTTCTGTGAGTTTCGCAGGACCACTTTCCTTACTGCATTTCTAACGCGCTACCCAACAAGCCCATGGCTGCCAGGGGAGCCTGCCACAGCCTAGGCATCTCTCGTCTCCTCCCTTGACCCTTCTGCGATTTTCCAGCCTCCTCCGCTAACTTCTCGCCCGCCCTCCCCACAGTCGCCAATTGCTTCTTTCTCCTATTTTAGAAAAGCACTTGGATTGTGGATTGCAGCCTCTGGGCGCCAACTTCCATTCCACTGTATCGTCTGGTCATTTCCCGGGAGAGTGAATCCTCTCCCCGCTTCATCCCACAAACAAGTGTTTCCGGAGAGTCCCTTGACCCCTCTGGGGTCATGCATCAGTTACCCTGTACATCACATATTTATGCTACGATTTACGACAGTAGCAAAGTTATGGTTGGGAAGTAGCAACAGAGGTAATGTTATTGTTGGGGGTCACCAGGACATGAGCTGTGTTAAAGGGTTGCAGCGTTAGGAAGGTTGAGAACCACTGCTGTCCAGGGATCTTAGTCCTTCCTAGCCCAGTAGACACGTGGCTTCATATGCATGGCTCACTGGGAAGGACATTCCTCTCTAGGACTGAGAGCACAGGACATTTTAGGACTACCTGACAGAGGACGGCATCACCCCGAATCCCTCTTGTACTCGAATGGAAGGGGGTGCTGTGTTTTGTCACTGCAGTACTAAGTGATCTATTTACTTATTTATATTTAGGGTACTGGAAAAGAGACTAAGGGTTTCCAATGCTAGCCTGCCCTTCAAGCAGGCTTGCCTCAAATGCTCCCTCCTTCTGTTTTAGCCTTCCGCATCCTGGGGAGACAGGTTATGTACCACTGTGCCTGGCTCTACATGGACGGTGTGTTTGCTTCCCCCTCTGATACCCCACCCCTCCCATGCTGGGGGTGAGACACTAGCAAGTTCTCTACCACTGAGCTAAGCCCACAGATGTCTTTTTTTGGGGGGGTGTCCCTGCAAAGCCCAGGGACCTTGCAAGCCTTCTGCCCCCATTTGCCAATCACTAGGCTTCCCAGCCTTTTTACTAGCCCCATTATTATTTTCTCAAATGTATTCATAGCTGGGTAGAGGGGAACATGGAAGCATTTTGAGATGTCTGTGTAAGGACAACTTCAGGGAAAAACAAAACAAAAACAGCCCCTCTTTGACATGATCTCCCAAGCAGATTGGGAGCATGGGTGGAGGGGAGAGGGAGTTAAGGGGAAGAGGAGGGCAGAGGTGAGCATGGCGGACCAGGAAGATTGAGTCAGGGAAAGAATAGAGGAGAGCAAGAAAAGAGATACCACAATAGAGGGAGCCATTATAGGTTTGAAGAGAAATCTGGCACTAGGGAAATGTCCAGAGACCTACAAGTATGACCCCCAACTAACAATAGGGGAGAGGCTACTTTAAATGCCCTTCCCTGATGATGAGATTGATGGCTACCTTACATGCCATCCTAGAGCCTTCATCCAGTAGCTGATGGAAGCAGAAGCAGACACCCATAGCTAAACACTAGCCAACCCCCTGGAATCCAGTTACAGATAGGGATGAGTAAAGGGATCAAGACCAGGCTAGAGAAACCCATAGAAAACTGCTGACCTGAACAAGGGGAAGTTCATGGACCCCAGTCTGACAGCCAGAAAACCAGCATAGGACCAGCCCAGATTCCCTGAATGTGGTGTTAGTTGGAGGACTGGAGAGTCTATTTATCCCTAGTATATGAATAGACTTTGGGAGCCCATCCCATATAGAGGGATGCTCTCTCAGCCTAGACACATGGGGGAGGGCCTGAGCCCGGCTCCAAATGATAAGACAGACTTTAAAGACTCCCCATGGAAGGCCTCACCCTCTCTGGGGAGCAGAAAGGGGATGGGATAGGGGTTGGTGGGAGGGGCAGGGAGGGATGAGAGGCTGTGGAAATTGGGATTGAAACAAGCTTGTTTCAAATTTAAAAAATTATACACACACACACACACACACACACACATATACAGTCCCTCTTGAAATCAGATTTTTTACACACACACACACACACACACACAAATATGACAGTACAGTGGCTGTTTCCAGGTACACAGATTTTATCCAGATATTAACTTTTTATTTTAGTATTCCCTCGTGTGTGTGCGTGCATGTGTGCAGGCATCCTCACCCACCAATGTGGGCGTGGAGGCCAGAGGCTGATGGTAGAGGGCTTCCTCTGTCGCTCTCCACCTTTTTTTTTGAGGGAGGGCCTCTCACTTAGCCTGGGGCTCACTATTTTGGCTAGGCTGGCTCGCCAGGGAGGCCTGGGGACCTTGCAGCCTCCACCTCCCCAGTGTGCTGAGATCACAGGCACACACACCAGTGCCTGGCTTTCACTTGGGTGCCAGGATCTGAGCTTAGCAGCAGGCGCTGCACCCAGGTAGTCATTGCCCAGCCCTCTGCAGTTCCCTCTTTAGTGAGACTCCCAGAGGAGGCGTGGCTTCCTCTAATGCGTCTAAACCCTGCATGTGTATGGGCCCACAGCTGACGCCCTGGGGTGATTGATTACCTTAGGCCAGGAGGCCTGATGTCTTACTGGGAAAGAGGGGAGGGACATTTTCTGTTACCCGGGGTCTGGGTCCCTGCAAACAGGATGGTCCCACTGCCTGCCTTATCGCACCTGGCTCAAATGTGTGACAAAGACAACTGACAGAGCCCAGCATGCCCTCCTTGTAGCTGGCTGTCTTCCAGGAGGGCAGCTTTGCCCTCCCTGTTCCCCACGGCTAGGATAATCACCTTCCTCTGTGACTCAAACGAAGCCTTCCATTCGTCACCACCAAACTTTCTGAGTTTTAGACTGTCTTCCTGGGCAGGCACCGGGATGGGTTTTTTGATGTGAGGTCTCTCTCTAGCTCCAGGGTCACCTCTAACGCCCAAGTAGTAGGTTAGCAGGTGTGAGCCACCAAGAGATATTAAGTTTCATCCTCCCATGCCCAAGGAGGATAGATAAGCTCAAAGGAGAGCACGAGCAGTGGCCTTTTGTGACATTAGATGTGAAATGTATTAAGCATTTGTCAATTATGTTATGGATTCTCATTTCATTTTTGTACCATTTGTCTGAAGAATATGCTGTTTGGTCGATAGAATTCTAAAAAGCTGGCAATTTGGGGCTGGAGAGATGGCTCAGCGGTTAAGGGCACTGACTGCTCTTCCAGAGGACCTGAGTTCAGTTCCCAGCACCCACATGGCGGCTCACACCTGTCTGTAACTCCAGTTCCAGGGTATCTGATGCCCTCACACAGGCATACATGCAAATAAAACACCAATGGACATGAAATAAAATAAGTTACATATTTAAAAGCTGATAATTTCACATACTTCACATGCACTTTATACTTTATCTTTTGGATTTGTGTCTGTGTGTGGCGGGTGTGGTTGTCAGAGTGGGCATGTGCACGTGCTTGTGATTGTACCTGCCTGCTCAAGTGTGTGGAGGCCGAAGGGGGGCTGACACTGGACATCTCTCCTGAACCCTCTCTATGTTTATTTCTTGAAACAGGGTCTCTCCATGAGCCTGGAGCTTAACTCTGCTAGATCGGCTGGCCCAAGAACATCATGGATCTCCCTGTCCTTATCCCTCCAGGGTTGAGGATACAGGCACATATCACTGGACCCGGCTCTTTACACAGGTTCTGGAGATCTGAACTCAGGTCCTCATGCTTCTAAAGCAGACACTTTACAAGCCAGGCCATCTCTCTAGCCTTGAGACAGGCCACATTCTCTCCTCAGCCTCTCAGGCTGCTACACTTCTGGCTACAGGCTACCACCCTGATATTCATTCTCTCTCTCTCTCTCTTTCTCTCTCTCTCTCTCTCTCTCTCTCTCTCTCTCTCTCTCTCTCTCTCTCTCTCTCTCTCTCTCTCCCTCCCTCTCTCTCGGTAGTTTTGTTTTCTTTTGAGATGGGGGGTGTCTCACCATGTAGCCCTGGCTGGCCTGGAACTCACTACATAGAGTCTACCTCCAGAGTGCTGGGGTTAAAGGCTTGCACCAACACACCCAGCCACTTTAATTCTTACACATCGTGGGGATGAGAACCAAGGGCCCATGGTTCTTGAACTGCCATCATCAAGGCAGAGAAATAGTGATCATTTTCTGTTATAAAGATACCAAAGGAGTCACATCACAGCCGCCCCCGCAAGAAAAAAGTCAAAGCTGGGCAGAACGGGAAGCCTGAATCACACATTACATGTGAAACCGAAAAGAGAAACTATGGGGATGTGGTGACTGTAGTTTTACAAGGGACATCTCAATGGGACCAGATATAAGTGGGAAGTACCATGGTGCCATGCCATGGGCTACTTGGAGAGGACACCTTTTCTGTCCCAATTATACATCTGACCTTGGTCTCTTCAAGTCTTCTGATGCTTCCCTAGGGAAGAAGGGGAGAGCCCCGTTCTCCTCAGTGTGGTGGACTAGGTAAGATGGCATGTGTCAAAAGGCTGAGGGGCCTCTGACTCAAGGGACCACGGATGACCTGTTGCCCTCCTTCTCCTCCCAGCCCT